GTTTTTGATTATGACAATTATAAGGGCTTATTTTATGGGATTAATTAATATGGCAGGTGTAATTGTTTTTAACTAAAAATGTTTAACTGTCATCCCCTGTCATTCTGCAAGATTGGCAAGTGGTTTGGGCTATCACCTAGAGACACTTTAGAACAAAAGAATTAAAAGTAAAGTAGGTATATTTATAATACATAAAACACTGAACTATAATTTACAAATAGAAAAACAAAACCTAATGAAATATTCAGAAAGACACGCATTAGAACTAGAATCTAGAACTTAAATATGATCTACTACTTACTAGTACTACTACTAGAGAGTCTATCTCTCACTCTAGAAAAAAACAACAACTCTAGTTACTCTAGTTCAGGGGTCTCAAACTCATTTCAGCATGTGGGCCACGGTGGAAAGTAACAACCATTCAGCAGCCACATCCATGTTTTTTCATTAAATTTTACGAACACTGCTGTCACTCTGTCACTGCTAAAATAAAGTTTTTATAATTATTAATTACATTTAGAGTAGTTTATTACATGCACAGGCAGTTTAGTTTATTAAAATAAGTTGAGTTGTCTCTGTCGCTAATTAAAAAGCAGAAACTGTAGTTTCCCAAAAAAAACAACAACAATAATTACTAGGCCTACTGCAGATGGCTCGTCACTCATGTTTCTGTCCACTCAACTAAGAGCGTTTGGCAGAGACCAGACCATCGACGTTAGGCCTGAAGTCACGTGTAGTGGCCAGCCGCAAGGTTGCTCTCAGATGCTCATCAGTCAGTCTTGATCGTAATGCTGCTTTGTTGATCTTCATTCTGGAGAAAAACTGTTCGCAAACGTACGCACTCCCAAACATCGCTAGAATTCTAGCACCTGCACATAATAAGTTTGGAAACTTCTCTCTGGGAAGAAACTGGTAGAAAACTGGAACACCAACATCAGCGTATTTTTGCTTCAGAACAGTGTCACACTTTAGCTCCAGTAGTTCCATCTGGACTTCCACTGGAACATTTTTCACGTCAACTGCGAACAGAGTGGCAACAAGAAAAAACTGTGGTTCAAGAGCAGTGAATTGCTGAAAGCGGTGTTCAAAATCTTCCAGTAGTCTGGAGAGGATGTCTACATAGTCTTTCGGGTGCTGTGGTTCAACCTTAATGCTCTGTAGAAAAAACAAATGAGCCAGGTTTCCATCTGCCAGCTGAGTGGCCCACAAAGTCATCTTGTATCTGAATGATTTGATGCGGTCAAACATCACGGTAATCAGCTGCTTTGTGCCCTGTAGTTGTGAATTGATTGCATTGAGTTGTTGCGTTATGTCAGTAAGAAAAGCAAGATCTGACAAAAACATTAAGTCACTGAGCTGAGGTATGTCTCTGTCTTTCATTGCAATGAACAATGCTATTTCCCGTCTCAGTTCAAAAAATCTCTGCAGCACTTTTCCACGATTCAACCATCTGACTTCCGTATGATAAAACAACTCTCCGTATTCCGTTTCCAAATCAGCTAGAAAACTGTCTGTGGTTGAGACCCCGTGCACGTATAAGGTTCACTGTCTTCACGACAACATCCATCACGTTCTTCATTTGTAGACTTTTGCCACAGAGTGCTTCTTGGTGCAGAATGCAGTGTATGGCTGCAAAAGGTCCCGCCAAGCTGAGCTGATACTGTTTCTCTACCATTAATCCAACAACACCAACCTTCTCAGAACACATTGCTGGTGCACTGTCCGTAGCCACTGAAACAAGTTTTTCCCATGGTAGCCCACACCTGTCAATACAAGCTTCCAGTTTTTGAAACACGTTGCGTCCATTCGTCGTTCCTTTCATGGCTAGTAAGTCTAATAGCTCTTCAATAATGTTCAAGTTTTCGTCAACCCCACGAATGAATATGGCACAGTATGCGGTGTCTGTTACACCAGTAGACTCGTCCACTGCAATGGAATACACTACAAAGTCTTTTGCAGTGGCAATCAGTTGCTGTTGAACATTTGTCTCTGACTCTGTGATCCTGCTTGCAACTGTGTTCGCAGACAAACTTATGCCTTCGAAGAGTTTCTTTTTCTTGGAGCAGATAATTCCACACGCCTGTAGCATACACTCTTTTACAAACTGGCCTTCAGTGAATGGTCATGATGCCATCTTGCTAACAACAAAGCTTGCCTTCACAGAATCTTCGCTTGCAGTGGGCGGACACCTCATTTACTAATTTGTCCAGTTGTAAATCATTTCACGACTTGTATGTGGTCATTGTAATTTTATCTATTTTTTTTTAATTCGTGGATGTGGCCGCAGGCCACACAGATTTGTTTCGCGGGCCACATGGGGACATGTGTTTGAGACCCCTGCTCTAGTTCAATAGTAAATAGATCTAGATCTAATTGTTAAATATCTTTCACTATAAAATCACAACTAAAGTACTAAGTACTAGTGACTAGTCTTAGAGTAGAGTCTAACTTTGAGTCTAGATTTAGTTAGGTGTTAGGCATTTTTAATTTAGGATTATTATTGATTATAATAATTTATAATTTAATTTATAATAGAGTTCTGTTAACAAAGAAAATTTAGAATCAAGGCGCTGTGAATGTATATTCAGAATTGCTGCCTATAGGGCTATAGTTATATAAGGATATAGTGAAGAGTTTCAATCAATCAGACTTAGAGTCTTAGTCTGGTTTTGAAAATTTTGATAAACTCTTTGAGTCTTGACAGGCTTGTCTTGATTCTTGAGTTGAGAGGAGACGATTCACTTTTTAAACTTACCTTCACGCATTTTCTGATCTAATTCATCTATTGTTGGTTCAATAAGCTCCCATCCCTCTGGTGGTGGCTTTCTACTGCGTTTAACTTTAGGCATCTTTAATTAGATCGATTCTAGATCTAATAACAAACGAAACGTAAACAGCACACACACACAAAAATAGATCTAATCCCGTTTTGATTGAGCAATGGTAGTTATATAGATCTAGCTAGCTCATAAATGAAACTTATCGATAGAAGAATTCCACTTCTAATGAACAAAATACAATGTAAAAATAAATGGTGCACTCAACTAAAATCGTAATCAATCCATTATCATACATAGGTCATGGATATTTTTGGCCTGTTTGGGGAGGGAGTTGGGAGCACGAAGAAAAGTTCGTAAGGTTCGTACTAAGAAAAGCTGACTGGACAACGTAAAAAAATGGACCGGCCTCCCTCTCGATATCCTGCTGAGAACAGCTACTGACCGGGAAAAGTGGAGGGATTTGGTTCTTTTGGTTACGCAAACTGTCACAGCACCCCAACGACAAAAGTGAAGGGACAGATTAAATGAAATAAAAACATTTTATCTTCTAGGATTTAAATCTAGTGACATTCTAGTGCCAGATCTTGCTGGGCTGAAAACATTCAGTATGGAAAACGTCAATCCTACTCGCGATTAAAAAAAAACGGCAATGTCAGCTTTCATTTAATGAAAATAATAAGGCAAATTTTAATCAAAACAAGAAGTTCCAATACTTAATTGACTATAATAGTCAATGGCATATAAATACAGATCTAAATCTATCTCGATCTCTTTAAACAAAATCAAAAGCGATATTTTGCTAGTCGATAGTAAATCTAAAAGGCAGTTCTTAATGTTTATAGGCTTTTTGTTGGAAAACTATCCTCTGTAGATGGCTCGTCAAGTTAATTTGACCTTGATTTTGTACTTAGTAAAATATGAACAAAATGCAAAGACGTATTTATTTTCAAACAAAAAATCTTAATTTTCACTTATCCTTATCCCTATCCAGACTAGGCCTCGCACAATCAATTTCGCATAGGGCCCCGCAATCTGTAGGACCGGCCCTGCACCTAGCCACGCTACACCCATGTAAGGCGACAAGTCTGACTGCTCTAGTTGGTGTTTGTGTGAGTGCCTCTGATGACAACAATGATCTTTGGTAACTTAAAGAATTTTCCTGATCTTTTGTGGGTTTTTTTTCGACCCAATACCATATAAATAACTCCACCACTTTAGGTAACATTGTGACTGTCCATATACAACAGGAAACTATTGCTTATTTTTCTAATATGGCTTAGAAGTATGTGCACAGAATATGCATACTTCATTTTAAAAGATTTTGTTTTCAGAAGACTGTAGCCTTGGTACCTATTTCAAGTTGAATAAAGGCTTGCATTTTGGGTGTGATCTTAACCATGATAAGATACTATTGCAGATGTAAAGTCTAGTGAATCTGTGGCATTTTACGTCATTGCTGGGGAAAAGCCTGGGAGGCACCACTGTCCCCCCACCTACAGGGCTCCAAAACAGAATTTTGTTAGGGTTTACTCTCTTAACCTTACAGGGACACACAAGGCAGTGCGGCTATTAACCTATAGCTAGGAGTTTGGTTTGTAGGCATCAGGGCCTGTTTGGCCGAGGGCTGCTTGGCTTAAGGCAGACAGTAGCTATCCAGTGAGGCTGAAAAGCCCCTCCTACCATCGAGAGTGGTCCCTGGCGTCCCAGCTTACGCCAATCAGCTAGGAACTTTTCACAGGTAACTACCACTCTTCATGTTTTACGCAGACGGGTGTCATGACTTCCTCACAACTTGGGGGCCAAAAACCTCCTCCGAGACCCTTGCAGATTTGCCTGAGGCTTCACAGCATAGTACTTTGGAGAGGCTATGTATCTAGGTGATTAACTAAATAATGGTAGAAGACAAGTCGCCAAAATGATCAAAGGCTAGATGGTAAAACTGCAGGATGACTGACTGGTCCTGTTCTCTGGACTTTCCTCCCAATGGTCTCAAATTCGAACCCTGCCCTCTCCTGTTGGCTAAGGAGGAGGCTTGAGATAGAATGTAATTATTTTCAAATCTGAAAGAAAGTCCAAATCATGTAAAAAAAAAAAAAAAAAAAAAAAAAAAAAAAAAGGGTGGTTTAGCCAAATACGTTTGTTTAGGAATGCCTGCAGCTCCTGTGTAAGTGGCCAAATTTCTTCTTACTGTAACACACAAATACAAAACAATACACTTCAATCTTTTCAAAATGTTTTAATAAATAGTTTTTAAAAAGTTGTGACAAGACTAAGCTGCTGGATAAAAAAAAAAAGTAAAACTTCTTTTGTTAATGCTATTTATCACCAACATTAAGCCATTTGTTAGTTGACCTATAATAACCAAGACCATCTCACACTAACATACCATGTACCGGTACTTAAAGTATGAAAAACATTTTAGTGTTAATAAAACAAAAGATAATAAAAAAAAAGCAATTTCCTGAAAACATACTCTGAATATGGAGTAGATAAAACAAGGGTTATCAAAAGCAATTTGCTAGCTTTTTTAACAGTGTCTCAAAGGCTGATAAAATCATTACTGTCACTACCAGTATTACAATATTTAGATTAAGAGTTTAAATCACTACTGCTATCCAATTTCAGTCTAACTGAACTAAATCAAAACATTGTGACAATTAAAAGTGTGAGTTGAAGAACATAAAAATTCCGAGAAAGAAATAAAATCTTGACCTAGCTACAAGACATGTATTCTGAATCAATCATGTGGAGCAAACGAATAGATGAAATAGCTATTTGTCAAGGCAGTTTTGAGTGGATTAAAAATTATTAATGACAAATACACAAGGCTTAAACAAAATACAAATATTCTATTTGCTAAGAGTAAATTAACCATCCAAAGTGATAGTTTAAAAGTTATAGTATCTTATTTATGATATGAGCTTGAGTCATTTTTAAGTTCCCAGCATTTGAAAAAAAAAAAAAAAAAAAAAAGAATTCTAGGCACATGTAACAATTACCAAGCTGGTACACAATTTTATTTTGCTAGGGAAACATACTTTAGAGGGAAAAAAAAAAATCCTAAAAAATACTTATAATTTGACTGATACATGTTCAGACTATAAGAAAGATTGCGAGAGAAACAGCTTCTTAAAGAACAACCTATCCCTGTGATTAAAAAGATTTAATATTATCAATCACTGTTGTGGCTCAAGTCTGTGGAAGTGAACACATCTCACAACTGTTGTGTATGGACTGGTTCAAGAAGGTGCAGTGGGCACAGGTCCACATGGGACCCCCAGACTGGGCAGTGGGCTGTCTTGCTCCAGATGTATTACTGCTGGATGGGGAAGACATGGAGGGACCTAAAACAAGACAAAAAAATATTCATAGAGAGTAAAGAAATGATGCAATTCCAATTAAAATAATTATTACTGAAAGTAAACAGTCTTCTCAACGATATTGGAACACACAACGGAATTAATATAATAAACATTTTTATTTAGTTGTTTTTCAATAGTAGCATTTCTTAGAGAATGATACTTGGAGGACTACTTAGGGATTCTTCTTTGCCTCGCCTGCTTTTTGCTGCTGAACTGAAGGCTCATTAAAATCTTGGTAAAGAAAAATTGTTAGGGTCAGGGAGACTCCAGAGATTATGTTAGTGGATTAAAATGGGCAGAGACAAAAAATATTGCAAACTAAAACAAATTAGAACAATGACGTCTTAAAAAAAACTAAATGTAAAGGTTTAAGCAAACACATAAACCATGTTCAGTATAAGATCTCCATTATGCAAAGTATTGAGTAATGTATTTAGCTCTGAACCTAGAAAAAAATATGTATTTATTGCAATATTAGAACTCACTCCACATTGATCTGAGAGAAATAACATGCTTCACTACATTGAAGAAGCTCATTAAAACCTATCGGTTCGAAATCTTTTATTAGATTAATTTTCCATTTTAATTCTCATGTTTATTTTTTTTATGTTACCACAGCCTACATTATGTTAGTTAACAGCGCTCTATAAACTAAATTATTATTATTAATATACAAAATAAAGAAGAACTTTAGTAATGAAAATTAATGTTAAGAAAGTTCAACAATACCATTGGCAAACATCATTTCCTGCACAGTTGCCCATTCTTCTGTTTTCATAAACTCCATTGCCTTCGCCTCATCATGGTTCTTAACTGCTTCAAAGAGGATATCCATTTTATCCTGAGATAAAACAGAAAACTTATTGCAGCTAAATCACATGACAAAGTCAAAACTAATAACAAGAAATAGAAAAAAAAATCAAGACTGACTTTGAATGGCCACATGTCAAAAGTGGCAGTCAAAACTAACAACAAGAAAAAAAAAATCAAAACTGGCTTTAAATGGCCACATGTCAGAAGTGCCAGTCAAAACTAAAAAGAAAAAAAAAATGGTTTAACAATACTGACTTTAAGTGGTAACATGTCAGAAGTGGCCAGGAACATGAGCAAATGAAAGTCTGACATGGCTTCCAGGAACTTGTTGGGTGGAAATCTCTCAAGGTAAGAGGTCAAGGCTGAAAATTCCTGAAGATTCAAATTGTAAATTACTGTAATTAATGCAAAAATAGAAAACCGCCAAGTATTTCAAGAATTTTAAGCTTTAAATCAATAATAATCTTTATTGTTCCATGGAAGGAGGATCTGAATTGTGAATTGTGCATTACATATGACAATAGATTTTAAGAGCAATATAAATTTCACAATAGCATAAAAAAATATATGTTCATACCACAGTTTAACTTAGGCAAAGGCTGTTGTGATAGTAAAATGTGAATTTACATCAGAAAGGTGGAATTTAATTAATGATTTAATTTCTAAGTGAACAAAAGAGTACTGTGTTTGTCTGGTTTTGTGATCAGTCTCTCTTGTCTCTTCTCTGAGATAAAAAAAAAATGTTTTGATTCAAGTAATGGGGTAAAAGACTATCCATTTCAGACCTATGAGAGCACATTGTGCAAAGCTTATCTGTCTTTATGGCTGACAATGACCAACCCCCTTTACTTCCTAAATATGTCAGGTACCCATTGAGTATTGGGTGGACTCAGTGGCCTGAAAATCCCAAAAACCCAGTCTTCTTCTTCTTGCCAGCTTTTTACTGCTGAGCTGTCAGGTCTTTAAACCCAGTCTTCTTCTTGCCAGCTTTTTACTGCTGAGCTGTCAGGTCTTTAAACCCAGTCTTCTTCTTCTTCTTGCCAGCTTTTTACTGCTGAGCTGTCAGGTCTTTAAACCCAGTCTTCTTCTTCTTGCCAGCTTTTTACTGCTGAGCTGACAGGTCTTTAAACCCAAGTCTTCTTTTTATTCTTGCCAGCTTTTTTCTGCTGAGCTGTCAGCTCTTTTAACCCAGTCTTCTTCTTCTTCTTGCCAGCTTTTTGCTGCTGAGCTGTCAGCTCTTTAAACCCAGCCTTCATTGGGATTTAAACTCAAGACCCCATGGTTTGGAAGAAAAGTGTTTTACATCTCAGCGACTACACCACACATTGAAGAAATGACACGTAATGAAAGAACTAGTGAATGATGATAAGCATCTGCTTACCTGAGTTTGGCCAATGTTTTCTCTGTTTTCCACAGGGAAACTTTCACTCTGGATATTTGATTTGAAAGTGTAGTGAAAGTCTGAAGCAAAGGCTGCTGGGATAGTAACTAGCAAGTATTCAACAGGCAGAGGTCGGGCAATATGGATGACTTCATTCCCATAGTTATCTTTATCCTGCAATATATTATCACTACACTTTAAACACAAGTTTTAATGTACAGAAATATAGACAAATAACTAAATTTCCAGTGGGTCCAAAACAATACAGTAGTAAATATATTGTTGCATAAAGGTGTTAAAGTCATAATTATATAGGTCCCCATTATCCATTGTAAAATGTTTGACATGTTTATGTTGTTTGTTCAGTGCTGAATATAATCTACTTCCTAGTCCAAACTTCTGCAGACAACCGGGATGACAGCTGGAAGAGTATGAATCTGGGACCATTCCAGACAATAATTCAGCGAACATACCAACCAGGCAGCCATTTCTTCTAATGCATCAACTCAAAAGATTTTGTGTGCTTAAGTCCAGATTTAGATATGTAACCGTAAATATAATACAATGATGACTTTGTTATATTTTTAAAATGTTGTAGTTGATAGTTATTTATGCAATGTATTAGAATAATTTTTAAAACACTTATTGGCTAATAATGCTATTGGGATTTTCTTTATTTTCATAAATGTATATATATATTCTTCATATTTGTGAGGTGCATGTGTGGTTTTTTTTAAAAAGCCAGTCTATTCCGCTTAACAAGAGAAGACATACAGAAGAACTTTATTTCTAAATCTCATTTAGTATGAGCACAAGATCAGCTCAGAACAAACACATTCAAGGCTCTAGAGAACCCATTTGAAATATATTCTTTTAGCTCAATTTTTTCGTCAAAGCAAGACAAATTGACAAAAGGCAAGCAGTCAAATTTTTCTTGAAAGAAACCTGTAAAAACCAGAGTCTAAGTAATAAAGACATCAGCATTTTCAGCTCAATACTGCAAACATCAGCATCAGCATGTGGTTACAAATATGTTTCATGTATTTTAATTCTAGTAGAGATAACAAATTTGTACAAAGATCAGTCTGCTTTCCTAAAGACTTTTAGAGAATAGTATAAAACCCAGAATATGAGCACATAATATTTGTGACAAAAACAGCAGTTAAATTTTAATTCATTTGAGTCAAAATAAACAATTAACCTATAGTTAAATACAGTTTTCCAAACCTTGTTTTCACTATAAAAAAAAACAACAACAAAGCAAACTTCTAAAAACAGACTTAGATTCAGCACTCGACCAACCTTATAGAACACATCAGGAACGTATTGCTCATTGCCAGATTCTTTGATATAGCCAAGTTGTGGCACGTCTTTTGTAGGAACAAAACAATCATCTCTGACTAGAGCCATACACTGATTGGACACTTGGTAGCCTTCAAAGTGGATCTGATTGTCATTATCACCTGATTCAATTAGATAATTCATTATAAAATACCAGTGTAAAATGAATAATATGTATAAATACTTATATATACTTTCAGTAATCAATGTGGAAAAATTGCCTTTCAATGAATAAACTATAAGTGCAAAACAGGATTGTAAATGCTAATGTGGATTTTAAGGAATTTAAACGTTGTATTGCAGAGTTTTGCTTTTATGAATAAAAAACATGATATGTAGTATTTATTAATATATATTTTACTTCTTATGAGCTGAATTTTATTGGATTGTTTTCTGGTTTCTATATTTATTCTAAAGCATTTAAAGAACTCTTAAAAATTGTTAGAAGATACAGGTAGTTAAGAGCAAATATATTAAAAACAAATGTACAATACAAAGGCTCTTTTAGTTTTAAACTCAATCAGATCGGTGAAGAGGATTGGTAAACAAAATTAATTTTTACCTACTTATCAATCAAATCAAAAAATGTTTGGTTTTTTTTTTTAAATTAAAAAAACAATTTATTTTATTAATATACAATCCAGTCAAACAATATTCACTTGTTTAATTCTAGTTACCTCAACTAAGAATTTTTTATTTCTTTAAGAATGATATTTATAATTATATAACACATAATTTGTGCTGTCTAGACTCAGGTACTTGCCAGTAACAACAACAGTCACAAACTTTGAGCCAAAATGTCCATCAGGTGACAGACTACAGGGATTAGGATACTTATTTTGAAAGTCAGCAGCCATAATGCACTCCTCTGCACTCAGGAAATGGGAATCCTGCAAAGACATTGACAATATTTACCATCTTCAACAGCTATTACTTTGAACAAAATGAGGTTGACCAAAGCAGACACTAGAAGCTTTTTTTTTTTTTAAACATGATTATAAAACAGTGATAGACTATGAAACAGAAGAATAAAATTACCATAACATTTTCAGTGTAAAATTACCTTAGCATTTTCAGTGTTAAAAATAT